CTGTCATCTACAGCAAGTAACCCCAAGTTGAGGCCCCTGAGAACTACTGATATACATATTAAATAGCAATAATCAAGTCCAGATCCTTACTTTCCTCACTTTCTCCTTACTTTACAGTGGCTAAATAGGGGGATTTGTTCGCAAGCTTTGCCTAGCACTGGCTTCAAAATCTGGTTTCAAAAAAATGGGCCAGATCCTTACCTGGTGTAAATTGGTGTAACTCCACTGAAATCAATGGAGTTATACTGCTTTACTTCACCTGAGAACTGGCCCAATATTTCTTTAAAGAAATCACACAAATAAAGAAAATACACACTATCCCAATCCACCTGGCCTTCTGAGAGACCTACTATATGCAGATTGGGGGGGGGTTTCTTAAATTGTTTTCCAACTACTTAAAAAAAAATAGGAAACTTTATCCTTAGCCCTTTAATTAACAGCTCTGTCCATCTGCTTAAGGCTCTCATCAAATAACACCATTCTTGCATCTGTGTTCTTCATCAAGCATTCAGAGTTATCACACTGTCTTAGCTCCACAATAACCCACCTTCTGTTGTAGGCCAAAGAATTATTTCTTCATTTTTCATTCTAACGAATGCATTGCTCACAGGCATTTTTCCATTACATATCAGCTTTCAGTATGCAGTCATTGCTTGGAATGTTGGCATAACTGGGACTGAGTCTGGTTAAGAGGACACTTTTATAAGAGAATGAGGAAGTATAGTTGACTTCTGCTTTCTGCTGGGATTCACTAGATGCCGCTATTACAAACAGCTGTTCAAGTTCGCTGTAACTGACTGCACTGGCGATTAGGTCTTGGAAGGAAGTCTGTGTTACTTATGATGGTGCAGTTCTTTTTACAAGCTGCGTGCGTACAAAAGTCAAAGCTTTCGCCCTGCATCATTCCTTAGTTGCAGATCTGCTCCCTACAGGAAATAACTATGCCAACAAAAAACATGGGATATCAAAACACTCCAATTTCCACCTACCAAAACCAGGAGTCAGAGAGGTTAAACACTAAGAAACTTCCTATCATCCCCCCTTTCAAACTATTTCGTTTAATAACTTTGACTACGAAAATCAAATCATACACCTCACATCTTCCCCAGCATGTTTTTGCTGTTGTTGCCTGGGATTTGGAAGTATGAAGGAAATCCAGATTCTTTACATCTATTTAATATTAAAATTGAATATCACAATCCTTTTTCATTGCATGATAATGCTTTCAAACATTAAATCCATATACGTTTTCAAAGTTCATCATTATGGTAGCAATGTATGCAGGCCATGCAATCCCCCATCGCCATACACCCTCATCACTCCTTCCAGAGAGCACATGTATCTCAGCTTTGAGGCACTGTTAACTTTACTTTTGGCCAAATACTGTTGTTCCGTTTTTTGTCAATGTCACCATGCCTCTGTGGGTCACAATTGAGAATACCAAATTTAGGACAAGCTGCTGAGAAATAGGGCAGACACACTCAAAACTGATGGTTATACTTCCATAAGATATATCAGACCAGCAACAAAAGTAAACTTCTGTTTCACCACACTGGCTAACAAGAAGTCAGAAAAGCAGTCTCCTTCGATATTCCAGTCCTTGTATCACCACCAAAAACACTAGACTTAATGATGAGTGGTTATTTAGAACCGATTTCATCAAACAAAGAGTGCTTCTGATCCCAAAGACCAGCCACATACCCAGGTCAATATATAACTCAGATCTTACCCAATAATCATGCTGTTGCCAATCCTTTAGGATCTAATATCTAAAGGTTTATTTATAAAAAGAAAGAAAGGTGAGAGTTAAAATTGGTTAAAGGAATCAAATACATACAATAATTGCAAGGTTATTCGATCAGGCTTATAGCAGTGATGGAATAAACTGCTGGCTTAAGTCAAGTCTCTGGTTACTTCCAAATCATTGAAAGATCCTCAGTCCCTTGGTTAGAATGCTCCCATTAGTATACGTTCATAGTCCAGAGGTCAGAACAGAAAAGAGGTAAAATGGAGATGTTTTCAGGGCCTGTTATAGCTTCTGCCATGTGTAGGGAAACCCATTGTTCTGGTTTGTGGAAAATTACAGGTAACAAGATAGATTTTGGAGTCACATGGCCAAGTCACATGTCTATGCCTACTTCGCTTTGTCATAGCCATTACCCATACTCTAGTTAGTACATTCACATGAAAGTCCATCAGGTGTGCATGGGCCTCTTCCATGGTCCATTGTGAGTTAAGTGTTCCTTGATGGAACATTCAACTTGAATAGTCCCTTCACAATGTGCTGGCTAAATACCTTGTGGGTATTACCAAATGAGCAAACACATTTGAAATACAGGTACATAGTTAATATTCATAACATCAGATACCAAAATGATACATGCAAACAGATATGATTATCCTATTAAGCACATCATAACTTTTCCATAGACATCTTATTTGATACACTGTGTACAAGATTTGTTGCAATTATAGAACAGTGGTAGCAACAATTCTACATGGTCATATTTTAATCAGATAATGTCACAGTCAAGAATATTTTTTCCAAATACCAAGTCTAATTTGCGGTAGGGAATTAGATTTTCTAAGGCACAAAGGGCAGGTAGGTATGCCGTTCCCACTGAAAGTCAATGGGAATTAGGTGAAATCCAGTTGATTTTTAAAGGGAGTAGGGCACCTAACTCCCATTTGTGCTTTTGAAAATCTCCCCTGAATAATTAAGGAGAGGTGCGTGACTAATTCCGTTCCTGCTTCTTTTCTCCCTAATTCATAGAAGACCCCTTTCTCACTGCTCATACATTTTGTTTTGCCATCCCTACCATTCCACCTCTAGTTCCTTCCCCATACCATACAGACTCATAGACTTTAAAGTCAGAAGGGACCATCATGATCTTCTTGTCTGACCTCCTGCACATTGCAGGCCGCAGAACCTCATGTAGTGGGCCCATATCCTCTGGCTGAACTACTGAAGTCTTCAAATCTTGATTTAAAGACTTTAAGTTACAGAGACTCCACCATTTACTCTAGTTCAAACCCACATGTTACCTGTGCCCCACGCTGCAGAGGAAGGCAAAATAAATAAATAAATAAATAAAAATCCACGCCTCTGCCAATCTGACCTCTCAAGAAATTCCTTCCTAACTCTAAATATGACAATGAGTTAGACCCTGAGCATGTAGATGAGACTCACCAGTCAGACACCTGGGAAAGAATTCTCTATAGTAACTCAGAACCATCCCCCTCTAGTGTCCCATATCTAGCTGTTGGATATACTTGCTAATAACAGTCATGGATGGGCCATATGCCATATGCAATCTCACCATACCATCCCCTCCATAAACTTATCAAGCTCAGTCTTAAAACAAGTTAGGTTCTTTGCCCCCCATTACTCGCCTTGGAAGGCTGTTCCAGAACTTCACTCTGATGGTTAGAAACCTTCTTCTTCCAAAGTAGGGCCTGCTCCTGCTCCCAAGGGTGATTCGCAGTTTATTCATGTGAGACGCTCACATACCATTTTCATAACGCAAATCCTTTGATTCCCGCCACCATAGTTCCATTGCTGCTTTCCGGTTATCAATATGCTATTGTGAATAGTAATAAAAAAAAGCAAATCTTACCCTGGTTAAGCTTATGAATGATTGGAATTTTAGGATAGGATTTTAAAATAGGGAAGTTATATACATTTAACCTCCTTTTCTTGTTCTGCATAACAAGTAAATTAGATAAGGTTGAAGATCATGGGAGCTGTTCCCACAGAGATAATAGAATTATAGATGATAAGGCCAGAAGGGACCCGTGTATGCAAAATGTGTGTGATGATTTAAAAATCACTCCCCAAAGTGGTCAGCCTGCCCGTGTAAGTGACTTGACTCTTGGAACTGAAACAGAAAACCTGCTAAATCTGGCATGAAAACATTTTAAAGTAATTGGTTGAGCTAATCTGGTGGCTTTGTAATGCAGACAGAACCTGTAAATTTTTGTGCAGTTATATAACCACGACAGTTAAACAATAGCTTTGAGATAAGAAGTCTCTCCTAAAATTCATGGGCCAAATCCTCAGCTGGTGTAAATTAGAGTAATTCCATTGGACTTCAGTGGAACAGCACTTATTGACATCAGTTGAGGGCACATATCTCCAGCATATGTTTAAGAAAATATAAGCAGCAAGGTAACAAGAATATGTACTAAGAGAGGGAAAATGTAGTTACATTGTGAAATTGAATGCCAGAAAAAAGCTCTCTCTAAGTCCTTGTTTATGTACTGTATGTTCAGTCTACAGCATTAACTTTACATTTTGCATCCCAGTCTCCATCATTTGTCTCTATGGGCCAAATCCTCAGCTTATGTAAATAAGCTTGACTCCACCAAGCTTGATTTTGGCCCTGTAAACTCCTTTACCTCCGGTTTATCCAACTGAGTATTTCACCCTGTGCAGTCTGTCACTTCCCCAACAGTTCCAAAGCGGTACCCGTTACATACATTGAATATCCCTATGTAGAGTACAGCACGGAAAAGTGACTTGGTAGCATTGTACAACCACTTTGCATAGGAATACCTGACTATACAAGGTACAAGGCAGTGGAGATTCTAAGCATTTGCTAAAATAACTGCAATAGCCATTAACCCTCTTGCTTATTGTATGCCAGCTGGCTTGCCTTACTGTTACCGCATTATCTCCCTTCCCTTTATTCCTATTTGTTTGAGTCACCCACTCGTGTCTTTGGGGCAAAGACTTTCTTTTTGCAGCATGTATGTGCAGAGCCTAGCACAATCAGGCCCTGACCCTGGATTGCCCTGAGGTTTGCTACTCTAATGCAAATAAATAATAATTATATGCAGTCCTCCGCACAAGCAAACCTAGCAGTTTGCATAAATGATCCTGCAACCTTGAGCTCTGACTACAGAGGGCCAAATTTTGATTTCAGTTACACCTGTATAAATCCATAGTAACTCCATTGATATTAAAGTAACAAGTATAAATTACATCGAAGTGTGGACCCATGGATTTACAGTGGATTGACAATAGTTTTCTTTTGTGTTTAGGGATATACAACTTGTTATCTTTTTTGAAAATCACTGTCTGAAAGGTAAGAGATAAATTAAAGGCCTTGCTTTCATGAGTCACATGCTGTTCTCAGTTCCACTGGTGTAAATCCTGACTGTTAGACCAATCTCTTATATATACAATCTCTTATATATATTGGCCTGTCACAGTGGCCAATGCCAGATTCTTCAGAGAAGTCCAGCAGTTATGGGATAAAGTGCCCCTTGAGAATGTTTTCTCTCAATGCCCGGTACTCTGATTTACCCCTGTGTAACCGAGGACAGAGTTAATCTGATGGGAGCTGTGGATGTGTGATGGCTCTGAAAATCAGGCCACTTTATTTAGGAGTCTAACTATGAAATCTTAATGCCTAACTTTGTATGCTCACCTCTGTAACGTTTGGCCAAAGTAAGTTTTTCAAGCAGGGTAATGGCTTGCTGCACAGATTGCTTCCTGTGCTTTTGTGCATTGTTACTTCCAAAGTTATTCAAAACATCTAAAGGAGGCTGAGGCAACTAAATCTCAGCTATCCCAAACTCCTCATTTTATAATCCACTTCCTCCTCTCCCACCCAAAAAATCCACAATTAAAGGTAATGCATGAGAAAATACAGAATAACCCACCCTTACACACTGCATGTCTCAGCACAATTCTATCACCGCCAGCCCCAGCTTGGAGTGCTTTCCATTAACTCATGATCTATATGGGGATACGCTTGATAAGCGCATACCAGTTTTCCCAGCACGCCAGCCAAGCCCTATGAAAACTAAAAACAATAAATTTATTGAAAGCTTTTTTAAAATAGGAGGAAATTATTACTCATTTGAATGCTGCCCATGTTAAGGTCAATGGTCTTTTTTCTGATGCTGATTGTTAATATTAGATGAAAGGACATTTCCTTTACATTGTATTTATGGACTCTAATGGCACAAGGAAGATAACAGCCACATACATTACACACCCGAAACATTTCTGAATTTTGCATTGTTTACGGCTTAGTTCATTACTCATTTTCCTTTGACCTTTAAGTTAAAGCCAGGGTTCTCTAAATACGCTGGGCCCCATTCTGCTTTCTGGATGTACCCTGAACTTTTTTCACCTCATATTTTGCGGTCCCTTGACACGTTCACTGTTTGCACTGTGATTCAGTCAAAGGACCCCTGAAATGCACAACTGGCATGGGCACTGATGTAAATGGTTAAGGTTTGAAAGTTGTCCGAGAATAGGGGGAAGACTATTCAATGTGTTTATTAAGGTAGTGCCTAAGGGTCATTCAAGAAGGTGGCCTCGTGGTGCAGGGCACAAACACAGAGTGGTAGAGGGTCCCTGCCTCAAAAAGCTTATGCTCGAAATAGACAAGGCAGACGGGGGTGGGGGAAGGGATATTACGGACAAAGAGAGTAAATGACGTCATAGCATCAAACTGCATGTTAGGTCCATTAATTGGGGCGCTTTGGAGGACTGGGGTGAGTTTACTTGGGAGAGGACAAGCTAAATGGATAGAGAAGGGAAGGGAAGAGGGATGAAGGGGCCAGGGTAGGGGAGAAGAGATTAGGAGGGGCAGAGTGATTCATGTGTTAGACAAGGGCCAAATTTTCAAAGAGGATGGAGCCAGAACCTCAGTGGAGTTATGCCAGTAAACTCTAGTGGAGGATTCTGGCCTATGCCATTCAGTTGAATGTGCACCGCTTTGCATGTCCAAAACAGCTGCCCTGTGCAGCTTTGCAGCTATTAAGAACTGTGTGTTTGAGAAGTAAATTCTATCACTTGCTTGATCACTTGACAGGGTTCAAAAAGTTCCACATGTACACGCTCTTTTTTGGATATAGTCCAGTGGTAATGTGGCATTCAGCTAATGAAAAGACACCCTTCTACCAGAGTACATGGTCCAGGAGCTTACTGTTTGGTTTGTAGTGTAAGAGAAGTACCTCACAATCTACTCTTGATGGTACCATTTTGAATGCCCCAGAAATTGCCACCTTCCAATCTTCCGGTGTTGATGCCACTAAAGACGTTCGTGTGCAAAGGCCAGTGGCTTTCTGTTGATCTAGGGAAAAAACAGACATGAGTTTGGAAGTTGGGGCAATATCCTATAATGCATCACAGCTGAAAGGGTGCAAATGCTTTTGGATTCTGCCAAACCTTCAGCCATCTGTGAAGTTACTCCAGATGGTGGTGTTGAGAATATAGTTTGGCCTGAAGTATTCTGTTATGTGACCCCTCCAGTTCCGTCTCACTTTTGCCACTAACTGCTATTGCTTATGTTCCTCTCCAGGAGGATACAGACATGTCACTCTATCTGAAGTTACCATTGGCTCTGCTTCTTCTGTCAACTCACAAGGATGCTCGGTATGTTGCTACCCAAGATTATGCCCAGTGTTCCTTGTTAAAGTGGCACACACTTTCCTGCCCAACATCCCTTCCCTTCTCTGCTCCCATTTCCCTGGTAAGAGTGTCACCGCTTATTCTCTCCTCCCCACTCTTCCAAGGTTATGATGTCATGATTTGGTTTCAGCAGAAATTTTGCTGACTGGTAGCCAAATTTATCCCTGCATAGCCCCTATTACCTTGAAAATGGAATGAATTTTGGTCCTCTCTTTCTATAGGGAGATGATAGCAGCCTGCCAGGACCTTCCCAGATTCTTTCCTATTCTCATGAAAGCAGAGAAAGCATTTTTAATCTTCATGACTGACTCAGCAGAAATTGAGAGATTCAAAAATGTTCCTTCCGCTCCATGGTAACTAATGTTAGTATGAACAGATTGCTTAGCCCATACTCTCTCTCCCACAATCTGTTGAATACATGAATTAACACAGGCATTTTCTGGCTCTCTCTGTTCCCTGATGTTGTGGTTATTGTTTAACAATCAGATCTAAATGTTTGATTCTGGGTTTCATTCAGTACTAATATTACCGTAAAAGTAAAAATCTAGATCTGTCAACATCATACAGGCATGAGATACTCTCGTATTGCTTACTGATCCTGCCCTGTTCGCACACAATATGCAGTTCAGTAACAATATACAGCAACATTCTCCATTCTTAAATAGTCCTAAAGCAGGCAAAAACTCTCATCCAAGTTTCAGTCTCTGATAAAGATTTAAAACTGTCAAGATTTTGAGATTTGGCCCGTTAAAAAAAAACACAAGGTGGCGTGGTATTGGCATGCCTGTGGGATACCTGCTGCTCATCCCAAATGATTGATTGTGACAGAATATACCCCTGTGTCCACACCCTAGACAGTATTGTAATGTTTGTACAAGGTATACCTTGTGAGGTATTTAAAAACTCATAACTTGCTGATCAATAATATCATGGTAAAATGCACATAGCAACATTATATGTAAAGTTATGAACATATGCTGCCATCATGGCTGTAATATGTTTCCCAGATGAATCTGGAGAGTGGCTAAACCAGTTTGTCAGCAACAAGAGACAAGCCGACGCCTCAGCCAGGTGTCAAAAAGGCTGACGGACCGTTACCTGCTAAGTCGTCATTCTTTGGCAAGCAAGGGGGCAGGGACAAAAATCTACATCTGAGCAAAGAAACAGCATGGAGTTTCCTCTCTTCACCAGACTGCCTACTGCCTTGCTCCCAGCTGGAAATGCTTCTCATAGTGGGGACAGGACTACAAACAGATGGGGCAGACACCCCAAGACACCTCTCTTCTCCCTCCCTCTCTCTCTCTGGCATACTCTTGGTGGGGGAGGAGTCCTGACCTGAGAGATTGGTCAGTAATCTGCTGGAGCATGTGATGTGAAACTTTGCTTGAATCTAATATGGTTTGCTAAATTAGACACTAGTAAATCTATTATCTTTATATTTCTTGTAACCATTTCTGACTTTAATGCCTCATTACTTATACTCACTTAAAATCTCTCTCTTTGTAGTTAATAAACTTGTTTTATTGTTTTACCTAATCCAGTGTGTTTAAGTTGGAGTGTCTGGGTACTCTATTTAAAATAATCAACTGGCGTAGTATTCCCTTAAAGCAGTCCAGGCTGGAGGCTACAGCAGCAGGGCATTGTAAAGGGCACCCCAAGTTAGGTGACAAAGCTACTCATTAGTCTGGATGGTGCCCTGTTATGTCCCAGTGATAATAAATCCTTTATACTGCACTATGGTTTATGCTACAACATTTACAGCGAAGCCATTCGGGAAATGTTTTGCAGGATTTTAATATACTGTAAAGGTGCCATTTTTCATAGCCCTGTAAACCCAGGGTGACTTAGTACTGGGAGTACAACTATACAGCCCATAAAGAGGAAGAAAAATTACAACTAATGCATTTTAGAAATCTCCAAATAATAAATAAATTAATTAATTAAATAAAATACATAAATAAAAATATCTCAAAATATCTTTAGTCTCCACCATGTCTTTGTGATTTTTTTGTTCTAATATCTCACCATCGGCCATGGCTAGAAACAAATGCTGTGTACAGCACTGGAAAAGGGTGATTCCCAACTCCCCAATGTGAGAGAGCCCACATGATTAACTCTAAAGCTTCTGTTAGTCTCAAAGGTGCCACAGGACCCTCTGTTGCTTTCTAAAGCTATGGTTCTCAACCTTTTTTATTCAGGAACCCCTCCCTCCACCCCATTTAGCAGTATGGGGAAGTATCACAGGATGGGTTGGGCCCTTTAAGAGGGCTAAAGAAAGCAGAGGGCCCGGGAAGTGGCAGAGGGGTTTGACTGCTGATGTCTCAAAGCTGGAGGATAGACAGCACTGGGAGCATGTTGTACTCTTTCTTGCAGAAGGAAGGCCTCCAGGTAAGAAAACTGGGGACTTCCTGCTGAGAAGAGCAGGGAAGGACTCTAGCTAGAAGGCGCTGGAGTAGCTGCTTGATTAAAAAGCAGCCTGACCCTGAAAAAGGACCCTGGAATTGGCAGACCTGAATAGGTGTTGTGTTCACTGACTATTTTGGGGGGCTTTGAGCATGATATGAATTATGTTAATAAATCCAGATGCCTAGGAGAGGTATTTTTGGCCACAAGAAAGCCTCTAGTGGAGTTGTTGATTAAGGAGCCCCAAGTGATGGAGAAACTGAGGTGGAGCTTCAAAGCCACCCAGGCCATGAGGGGACGCTTGAGAGGCAGCCAGCCCTGTAACAGGAAGATAGAGTGGTCATGTCCCCATGATACCAGTTTTTATTCCCCATTCCACTCCGGGCAGAGAACTGATGCCTGAAAACATCATGAGATATAGGACCTTTAAACCTGTCCCTGGTCCAGACTGAATACCTTCCTTCCTTCACTTCAGACCTGGATAATTTGAGGGGCAGGGGGGTAACCATCTGGAATTAAGAAAGAAACAATTGTAGTTAGGATGTTTTTTTTAAAAAATGCAAGTGTTTGAAAGCTGCTCTAAAGTTTTGAATTGTTTGCAGAAGCGGGGGAAATGGTTAGTGGGTAGAGTGGAAGAGTGGCGGTGAAGGGTGACAAAGGTTTAACTTGGAGGAAATATATAGATTTAGATCCACACAGAAAAGTACACTGGGTAAGAACTAAAGTAGCTCAAGTGCATTAAGCACCAACACAAACAAATCTGCAAATCTCTCATCAAGGCTCCAGGCTCCCAGCCAGCACAATATTCCTTTCATATCACCTCTACAAATACACCAGTACTCTTCAACCAACCACAACACACTTACTGCCTGCATCACGCTCACTAGCAGATGCACAACCCAAACTCCAATCTTGTGGCCTGGAACAGAAAGCATGTGGTTGAACAGATGGAAAAGACTAGAGTGCAGTGTTGTGTTTAGGAAGAATGCAGGATAAAATGGTAATGGGGTAACTGATTTGAATTGGCTGATCGTTCTGAGCTTGTGTTTTTGATTTCAGTTATGGAATATCATCATTACAGCTTATCACTCAAAAACCACAGCCAAGATCTGATATTACCACTTATCTCAAACAGTTCCTTGGGAGTACATGATTTTGATAGAGGGCACTGCATTAGGTATGTTCAGGGCTGGCTCTAGCTTTTTTGCTGCCCCAAGCAGCAAAAAAAAGCGCCACCCCCCAGCCCCCCCGCCGAGCGCCGCGCCGCCCCCCAGCCGAGCGCCGC